ATCTATTTATTTTTGCCATGGCAAGCACTTTAAACATTTATGAACTGTGTGAAGCTTTCCAGAATGAGCAGAATTAGATGTCCTTATGCAGAATGATCAGACAATTGACATTCAGATGTCCAGTCTGCCTTTGTCTCCCAGTTCCAGTTCAATGCATATGTATGACTTAATCGCTGTGGGCCCATTCACAGTCTAAAAAACTTGCATTATTCAAAAAACAATACACTGTGCTTTGCATTGCCATGCATGAATCAAGAATGACACCCAATGCACATGAAGAGTAGCTGCCAAAGCACTTAGAGTAGCCTGTGTCGTAGTGTGCTGCCTCTGCAAATATACTGGAAATATGTTTTTTTGTGTGCTTTAAGGTGCCTCCATGTGACCATCACACTAAACGTTCAGGAGCACATATCCAGAACATCTAGGGCTTGTGCCAGCTTGGTTTTACATGTGCTAGGATATACCACCTGTGTTATGCAGTTGGTGAGAATTCATCTGCCACAAGGCTGTACTGGCCCAGTAAGGATCCTGCCTCTCCATACCCATGCCTTATATCTGACATATGCCAAAGGAAGAAAAGAGCAAATGTGCCTTCAGGCTCCATCAACAGGACTCTATATTTAGGGGCAGGTCTGACACTCACATGTATCAACTCAAACACATAACACACTATTACTCTGGCCCAATAAAAAAAAGCAATACAAAACATAAGCATGGTTCTACTCTTAAATTTGACCCAATGTAATAGAAGCACTGTACATTTCAGTAAGTTCAATATCACATCATAACAGACTGCAGGCTTACCTGAATAACGGCGCTGTAATTGGCCGGAGTGAACTGAGGGCTGTTGTCATTGACATCTGAAATGTCGATATTGACAGTCACAGTGGAGGAGAGAGGGGGAAGTCCGCTGTCCTTTGCTTGAATTAGGAGTGAGTATCCAGATACCTTTATAGAGGGGAAAAAAATGGTTCACATTAGACGATTTTCATTTAAAAAAAAACCAAATAAACTGTTGTTCAGTGGAAGCAGGCATATCGCAGGCTGACTTGACAATGCAACCAATCAACTCACCAAGGACTAATAACATTATCAGTGGTAGTAATGTCACTGCCTCAAAGTGAAATGATAAGCAAGGTCAGATTTATTCCTTCTGCCCCTCTAGGCCAACTGTCTTGTTCTCATTCTTTTTACCCCAGTCAACTTTCTAGCTTTAGTATCACACCAAATACTACGTACAAGCCACAAACTGGGTGGACCAGACAGGTTGTCCACTCTATGGGCATGTAGAAGCAAATAATTTGAAGATAGGGCAATCTGTCACGGTCAGGAGGATGTCCCAGGTGGGATTTTATGTTTGTCGAGAACAATAAAGTTGTACCTACAAAGGATTCTCCAGTGTGTCACCATTTCCTTTTCCTTTGACTTGTTACAGTACTCTGCCACCAGTTACATAGTAAGTCAAGTTGAAAAAAAAAAAACAAGTCCATCGAGTTCAACTGATAGAGAACAAAAAGATGAATACATAAATAAAAATCCTCCAAAACAGAACTCTTTGCCTATAGAAACCAACAGTTGGTTCAGAAGAAGGCAATAAACTCTATAAAGCATGGATTAATCTGCAACTAAGTGTATGGACCCAAGTTGGGTGAACTGTTAGTACACAGTATACCAATTCACCAACAAATACCCACAAATGGCACAGGTACAATAAAATGAGGACCCGGCTGCATAGTGCTGGCAGACAGGTCAGCAGTATGGGACCTTTGAACAAGAACATACAGGAACACAGGATTGGGTTACTGACAATAAGCAGCATGATGTGTAGGTGGTTGTGTGCTGTCCATGGCAGTCTTGCTGCCCAAGGTCATGGCTTATATTGGCTACAAAGAAGTCCACCCCTGCTGAAAGGTTGCATATTGGATCTGCTTGGTCGACTTTGTAATATCACTATGCAATATGTAGGCGAAATATAAATGAATAAAGTAAACAATCTGCACAAGATTGCAATGAATAAATTAAATAAATAGCACACAATACATAGGATTGACAGACTGATTAAGGTGTATACATAGATTCTCCATCCCTACGAGCTATGGGGCAATGCGGTTGCCTCTGGGAATTTATACTGTGCTAGCAGGGTCAGGCTTAGTAATGTGGACTGAAGTTAGCCTTGCAGCAAAAGAAAATGACAAGTGCGCTGAAAATTGATATAAATGACTCCTGTACATACACCGTACAGTTTCATAATACCATAAGTTCCCTGGAGGTCACAGGGGCCGTAGTGTAATTCTCTACAGGCGTCCCCGCAGGACCACTCTCTGGATTTGATTTGCCAAATGACATTTATGAGAACTGCTGTACAGTTAATTGGAAAAAAAAAACCTACTGCGATTCATCCCAGTACCTCAGACATAAGCCTTTCTTTTATAAAATATACCACAAATATGACAGCGACTGATTGATTGTTGTATTTAGACAACACTTGTTTAACTTGGATTACAGTTTTACTTAAATCATAGGAGCTGACTTATAACTCTTGCTGTATGCACGGCACTACCACCACTAGATGGTGTCTAGTGCTGATAGTGCGCTGGACAGAGGAGTTATAAATCAGGCCCTATGATTTAAGTAAGAATACACATGGCCCCTTGGTGTCCTTTTTATTTACATTTGTATATGAGAGCAGCCATATTTGCTTATTAGGATTGTCACCTTCCCAGCAACGCAGCACAGTGATTTTTCCTAATTTTCAATATAAATCTGTAAGTCTGCCCAAACTGATTAAAAATGGCAGACATTGGGTTAATCTTTATATAAAATATCATCAGAGGGATATGAAGCAGTTACCAAGAAAAACATGTCAAATATTACTTTCCTGTTAACAAAACAATAAAATATATAAAAAAACATTTGCACAGCTGAACTCCCTGCGACCATCTGACTTTAAAGGAGAACTATGAGATGAGTGATTTCCACTCACCTCATATTTCTAGCCGACCTGTGACAATGAGACTGTCACAGGTCGGCTCAGTAGATCGGGAGGTGAGTGAACACATACCAGGTTCGCTCACCTCTCGATCCTGTCACGGCTCTCTGCCGTGACAGGGGGAGGGGCTGGATTCCCCTCTCCCCGCTCCGATCTGCCAGCGCTGACTGGCGGAACGCACGGGGGAGGGGGCGGGTACAGCTGGCTCTGCCTCTAGATAGGCAAAGCCAGCTGTCACTCACGCAGCTGGGCGGATCCCGTCATCTACGTCGGGATCTGCTCCGGCTGCGGCGTCTCAGTATACAGCGAGCTGTAGCTCGCGGAATATACTGAGCTTAGGGTAACGGGAGGACGCTAGTTTGTATCCTCCCGTTACCCTAAGGACAACTATGGGGAAAAACACTGACCCCATAGTTCTCCTTTAAGATTTGCATTGCATTATGGCAACTAGATGGAGCCAAAGAACACTGGAATTGCCTATTCTCTTCAGCTCCAGTGGTCCTAATCTGATGCAGACCTAAAGGTCAGCGTGAAAAGCTCTGCAAACATTTTATAAATACTGGGGATGCACAGGTATATCGGCCGCCGAAAATTGCACTTTTGGTTAAATGACAAAAGTGCAATTTTTCTGCTGATATAGCGGCACATCAACTCTTTCTCTCCTCCCTGCTGGGCACTGCTCTGTGTCCCAGCGGGGAGGAGAGAAAGTGTCACAGGCGGCCGAGCGCAGTGGGAAGAGAGTGCTGTGAGTGGCCGGCGTCTCTCCACCCACACCGCTCAGCCTCCTATCACAGTCCGGCAGAGCGGTGTGTGGGCGGAGACAGCTGCACTGTCACAGGAGTCTGGGCTCTCCTCCCTGCACCGCTCACTCAGCCTCCTGTGACAGCTGTCAGGATGGAGAGCAAACACTCAGTGATCGCTGAGTGTTTGTAGATAATTGAGGATATGGTATGTGGACTATTATGCCACATACCATATATATGGTATATGGTATATATAAGGATATGGTATGTGGACTATTATGCCACATGGGAGTGATCTACATTACCTCCTGTCCATTCATGATTGTGGATATAGCAAACATACTCTGTCCTCATGTTATGAATAAACAGGAGCACTCAGAATAGAGGATTCCTGTTCATTGATAACTGGGGCTGCAGAATAAGAGATTGAGGACTCTGTGTCCTCAATCTCTTGTTCTATTTTAAAAGGGAAATAACAGGGGTCTGTTTAGACCCCTAATATTTCCCCGAAACCCCTAAAAGTAAAGTCAAAAAATAAAATATAACAAATAAAAATAAATAACAAAATTAAACAGTTTATTTAAAAAAAAATATAAAAAAAATTGAAACATTTTCGGTTTCAGCCTGACAATTTGTTTTTATTTCGGTTTCGAAATTTCCATCTCGTTGCACCTTCTTATAAATACACTTCAATATATATTTCTATTGAAGGTTAACTTACGCTTTAACCAGTATTGCCGCATCTGACCCACACCAATTTTTTTAAGGTTTTGTGATCGCCTTTATACACTCCTATATAACCGCGGTGAACTGAAATCAAGCAAGATACATAAATAAGGACTCACCCTTTCACGGTCCAGTTTATCTTTGACCTTTATTATTCCCACGAATGGGTCCACTGTGAATTGGTTATCTTGATCTCCATTGATGATAGAAAAGCTAATGTGTCCATTAGAAGGACTGTCAAGATCTTCAGCAAAGACCTGAAAGATGTAAGGATAATAAGAAGAGTGATACATGTATATTTTTGTTCTTATGAGGTAGACATTTAAAGGGTCTGTCCACCCAAAATTCGTATTTCCCTTATACATGGACAATGGTAGGCTGAATCATTCACTGGCTTCAGACTTCCCAGATTTTCCCATATTTTCTTTACTATGTCAGTCAATCTGCTGCCTTTTCTTTAATGTTCTAGCAGGGGGATCCTGTATATTGGCCATAGCAAGTGGGCAGATTTACCATCAGAGTCTCCAAAACATATAAGTAGTTGAACTACCTGTATCTACCAAAAACTGAACACCTAGCATGGGTAGATGGGATAAGGGGTGTCCCTCAAAAAAAATAGATTTAATATAAGTAATGTAAACCCAATCACTACAATCTTATGACAGAAGGGGTGGAGCTTGGGCAACAGGGCGTCGTCATTTAGGTCATCATAGTGTCTCAATTCAAACCTGACATGGAGGCACCTGTACCTGTCCATTAAATAATGTGTACACCCAATCACTAAAATATCATAAAAGCTTTGTGACAATGGAATTTCAAAAGCTATTTTTAAATGTTTAACTCTGTAGCTTTCATGAAAATAATATTTGTAGGGTTATTCACCAAATAGTGAAGAAATCGAGAAGTGAACAATCTAGGACAACAAGCTGAACTGGAAAGAGAGCTGAATTGGAGAATTTTTCCAAATCAGCTATTTTGGCCTAGATTGTTCACTTCTTCTCCAAACTCCTCACCCTTTTGTGAATAACCCTGTTGGTGGTCTTGTCATGAATGTGCCTGACCACTTCCTGTGATAGGGTGACAAAGCTCCGGCCCATGGCTCCCAGTTGTGCTCCTGTGTACTATCACACGGATGTCTGATGGAGGCTACAATTGTCCTGCTCACAGAGCATGGTCTACTGTTGTCTTCATCAGGAAACCTGCCCTGAGAAATGTCATGCAGCCATCCCTGGTGGGCATGTAGACAGGAAGTGGCTGCAAAGGGGCTGCAGATCGGCACAACTTTATAGGACCCATAACTTGCAATATCTAATTTATCAAACATCAGAAAAAAATGGATTAGTGAACTTTTTAAGTGGTGAATAACGAATCTTACCCTAATGACTGAGTCCCCAATGAAGGCGTCTTCACTGATCACCGCGCTGTAAACCTCTTGACTAAATTTCGGTGCATTGTCATTAACATCGGTCAGGTTGACGTTAACAGTTGCCACTGCGCTCAAAGGAGGAGAGCCGCCATCTTTAGCTTCAACCACCAGGTAAAAGTGTTTGCTGCTTTCATAGTCCAGAGCGTTGACAACCAGAATTTCCCCTGCAAATAACAAGAGGAAAAAGGTATTTAAACCTATTAAATGTAACAGACACTGAGTGAGTAAACAAGGATGGGAAAGGAACCAATGGAGAGGAGAGGAAAGAGAAGAGGAGAAGAAATTAGAGAGATTATAGAGTAAAGGAAAGAAGAGGAGAGGAAAGAAAAGGAGAGCAGATGCAAATAGATCAGAAGAGAGGAAAGAATAGGAGAGAAAAAGAAAGAAAGGGATTGGAAAGGAAAGGAGAGCAGAGGTGAGTAGTGGAGAGGAGAAGAAATGAAGGAAGAGATGAACAAAGGGAGGAAATGAAAGGAGAGGGATGAGAGGGAAGGAAAGAGATGAGAGGGAAGGAAAGAGATAAGAGGAAAGAAGAGGAGGGTAAAGGAAAGAAGAGGAGAGGAAAAGAGAGGAGAGGGGAGGAGAAGAGGAAAGCGTAAAAGAAAGACAAGGAGGCTAAATAAAAAAATAAGATGAGAGCAAAGGAAAAAATAGGAGAGAAGAGGAGAGGAGAAGTGATAAGAGAACTGGAAAGGAAGGAGGAGAGGAAAGGAAAAAATGAAGAAGAGGAGAAAAAAGGAAAGAGAAGGAAAGGAAGAGATTCTAACCAGTCTTAGGATTGATCCTGAATTTCCCATGTTCATTTCCCGCCCTGAAGCTGTATGTTATTTCTGCGTTTGTTCCGATGTCCTTGCTTGCAGCATAGACCGATATGACTCTGGTGCCAGTGGCAGTGTCCTCGGGGATGGTAACCAGATAATCTCTTCTTTCAAAAATTGGAGGGTTGTCATTAACGTCAAGCACGCTGATAGTAACAACAGCGAAGGAAGATAAAGAGAGGACAGGGCTCGTGTCAGATGCTTTCACTGTGATGTTGTAGGTAGATTGCAGCTCCCGGTCCAGTGGCTGCTCCAAGACGATGATTCCAGATTGTTCATCCACTGAGAAGTGACCTTCAGCAGAATCTACCAGTGAATAGACGACCTTCCGATTTATACCTACAAAGCAAAAGAAACACAAGAGGTTTAACCAATAATCATCAAAGCAGAGGTGTGCAGTAATGTAGCCGTTCACAAAACCTGGCCTGGGTACAACTTGTGGCCCACGTGGTTACAAAAAAAGCCTTTAATTTGGCAGGCATACTGTATGTGAGAGCAGGCGTTAGAATTACAGTATGCCAGACCTTTAACAGCTCTACATTGTATATATTATTAATTAGGGATGCACTAATAAACTTTTTTTGGTATTGAGTACCGATATTTATATGTCAGTACTTGCCGATACCGAGCCGCCTAGCTTCTTGATTGCCTGGGAAGTCGGCTCCAGTCCGATTGGCCCGGGAAAGGGCAATCAGCATGGAGCCAGCTTCAAGGCTAGCAGGGAGCTAAGAAGGCGGTTCTTTACACGTCGCCCTGGTTCCTGAATGGCCGGGAAGCCCTCCCCATGCTGTTTAGCCGGCTCAATGCTCATTGGCTGGGAAGCCGGCTTCCCTGCCTATGAGCATCGAGCCGGCCACACGGCATGGCGAGGGCTTCCCAGCCCATCAGGAAGCTGGGAAGCGAGTCATTACTTACCGCCCAGGCTTCCTGATTGGCCGGGAAGCCAGGTCCATGTTCCCACTGACCGGAAGTTCCGGTATCGGGGGTAAGTATCTGAGCATTTGGGAGAGTATGAGTACTCGCCCAAATACTTGGTATTGGCACCGATTGGCACCGATACCAAAACTAGTATTGGTGGATCTCTATTATTAATAATAATAGTGTGATGGCACAGATGTAGGTTCAGTTTCTGGGTACACAGGCCATTAGTGATATTGAAGATCCCTAGTGCTGAAAGTCAAACTACAGACAAAACTATTTTTAAATTCTGTACAGAGTGGGGAAGAATAAGAGCGTCTTTCATGTGCCCCCCATCCCCCACCCCTTCCTGCCCTCTGTGGGGCCACAGGACAAAAACACAGTTTAGCAGAGTGCAGATCAGTTAGAATTTCTGACAATGTTTTTATTGCTGTCTGTGACTTCCTATCCTGTTGACACTTGCACCCCTAATTCATTGTACAGGTGTCACAGGCACAGGAAGTAGGGGGAAATCTCCCCACTCGGGTCAAAGACAAAACCAAAAAACTATATTTGGAAGTGTGAAAAGAAAGCGCTGCACCCATGTGGTGATTCTCTTGGTGTTTTTCATCCAACAGTAGTTAAGTGATGTGAATATGTGTGATCTGGCTACTGGGTAGGCAGCTTCTTCAATGCAAAGGATTTCCACAGTATTCTTGGCTCAGTAGTGTAGTGAACACATTAGGTAAAGGAATTGAAGCACCATACCAATTAAAATCCAGATAGAACTTTATTCCGTTAGGGTCAGGGGACGTTCAAGTAGAGTAGTCAACACAGCTTCAGGGGTCCAAAACACACCCCCTTCAATGGTGCTGATGTGCCCCCATAACAACTCAAAACAAATCAAGCTGCAGGGATAGATTTTAGTCCACATACATGATTTCTCTCATTAAACCCTGAAGAAGGGGGTTGTGTTTTGCACCCTCAAAGCAGTGTTGGATATGCTACTTCAACGTCCCCTGACCCTAATGAAATAAAGCTGTATCTGTATTTCAATTGGTGTGGTGCTTTAATTCCTACATCTACTGTTAAAACTAAAACCTGACCAGAATGTAAATTCTTCCCTACTGTATCTAAAACTGAAACAAATATGATTTACATCAACTTTAAGCACTGAGGAGCCTAATAACAGCATAACACTGTGGGTTGGTTAGAAAAACCTAACTCGGATGGGAAATTACCCCTCCCCCCCTCAGGGGTTGTCAGCAGAGTCTGTATGTCTGTCCTTGTTCTGTGTTTTTTCCTTGATGTCATTCTGTTGATATTTCAACCAGACTGATCTCATAATCAAATAATTAAAAGTGTTAAAGTCTGAGTATCTCTCTTGGAAACGCTGGCATCCAACTGGACGGCTATCTGCATTGTTCCAGCCATATTAGCAGATGGCATGATGTATCCAACAGACAGCGAGCTGACCGCATACAAAAACACAGACATTTTTTTCATGCATTTAGAACTGTGATTATCAGAGCTAAACTCCTGCAATAAGCAGTATTCCTGATCTGTGAGCTCACAGATTTTGCTGATCCAGCTGCTGAGGCTACCCCTTTGTCATGCCATGTAGATCTGTACGCGGAAACCATAATGAATCTGAAAGGAATACTACATGCATGTCTGCTCTTTATCAGGAAAGTCATTTCATTGCTAATTAAAGAAGAATGCACAGACAACATCACACATCCCGCCCTGGAAGATAAATGATCCCATGTAGCAGACCGGGTGTTGCTGGCTGGGATATATTTAGAAAGATGCTACATTCCGAAATTTGTAGAAACACAATTTAGGGCAGCGCAGAGTGGCTTAGTGGTTAGCAGTTTCTGCCTTGCAGCGATGGGGTCCCCGAAGACATGCTGGAAGGTTAATTGGCTCCTGTCTAAGTTGGCCCTGTGTGAGTGTGGGCAATAGGGACCTTAGATTGTAAGCTCCTTGAGGGCAGGGACTCATGTGACTGTGCTTTATGTAAAGCGCTGCATTAATTGTCGGCGCTATATAACTACATGTAATAAATATTAAATAAAAAAAATTCCACTGTGTCCATAATATAATGGACGCTGTGAAAGCTTTTGTATGGTGTTTTAGCTCTCTATGGGCCCGTGTCTGGACATAAGCACATTAAAGCTGAGCTCTGGGATAAACAAATATTGTCTAAATACAAGAGGCATGTGTGTTCTTACTTGAGAGTCGGGTTATAAACAATAAGTTTGTGCATATAGTTGCATTACTTTTGAATGTTCTGCTTACAATACCCCATTATGGACACTAGATGGAGCGGAGGACCACAGAAAATAAACATTTATTTTCTAGGCTTCTAATGCCATCTCATGGCTATAACGCTGTTTTACAAGCAGAACATTTAAAATGAATTCCAATTGTAAAAAGAAGAAGAATGTTCGCTTGTTCATATATTCACATTCATTTTGAAGTGTTCTGCTTGCAATACTGCATTATGCCACTAGATGGAGCTGAGGAGAACAGAAAATAAATATTTATTTCCTAGGCTCCTTTTATTGCCATCTCGTGGTCATAATGCTGTTTTATAAGCATTAAAAAGTAAATCCAATTGTAAAGAAAAAAAAAAAAAAAGAATGTTCGTTTGTGGATATATTTGCACAGAATGAACATTCACAGATATGCGCAGGGTGAACGGCCCTGGGAATTGTTTAAAATTCAACCCCTTGGTATCCTCTGTGTATTTCTTCCAGATCTGTGCTGTAATTCAGTGTGAAACTTCCTGTAATAAAGACAGGTCACTGCTGCTGTCTCTCCTTGTGCACTGGTCTGGTCTCTGCCCCCCTCTGTAATAAAGACCGCTCACTGCTGCTCTCGCTCTCCTTGTGCATGGTGACTGGTCTTGTCTCCGCCCCTCTGTAATAAACACCGCTTCGGGCTGCTCTCTCTCCTTGTTCATGGTGACTGGTCTTGTCTCCGCTCCCTTCTGTAATAAAGACCGCTCACTGCCGCCCTCTCTCCTTATGCAAGGTGACTGGTCTTGTCTCTGCCCCCTCCAGTAATAAAGGCCGGTCACTGCTGCTCTCTCTACTTGTGCAGAGTGACTGGTCTTGTCTCTGCCCCCGTTCTCTCTTTCCTTTTGCATGGTGACTGGTCTGGTCTCCACCCCCTCCTGTAATAAAAGCCAGTCACTGCTGCTCTCTCTCCTTGTGCATGGTGACTGGTCTTGTCTCCGCCCCCCTCATGTAGTTTTATGCAGGCAGCCTGTAGTGGGTGGAGCCTGCTGTGCATGCAAAAGCATCTGGTGCACACAAAATGGATTTATATGCTTTGTAGCTATTGAGGAATATATTTAAAGCTATTGTGTCTGGAGTTCAGCTTTAAAGTGGACCTTGCAGTAACGTCACGTATCTGCATGAATACATTCTCGATATTTCACAACATACAGCAATAGAACAATTCCCAACCAAGTTCTAGCATTAGTATTAGTAGGCATACACTGTGACTCAGTGACCCTGGATGAGGCCTAAACAAAGATAAAAGCAGACAAAAGCATTTTTATGGGGGAGTAATAAATACATGGAAGTGTTACAATAACTCATTACTTCATTCACATGCACATAACATGAAAAGTATATATGATTCTAGGTTCACATCAATAGTGTTAAGAATGGTACCATGTGAGCTGTAAAACAGATCAAAGAGTCATATTTATGAAGGTCAATTTAACAAAAGGAACTGATGGTAACGGCTAAATAAAATCTCGCTATGATGTTCACTTTGAGTCACAATGCTCTGTTCACTTAGCCAATGACAAATCTTCACTGAGCAAAGACCTTGCAAGTTGTACGTTTAGTCGCTTGGCAGTCATGTTGGTCCTCTATCTTTAATGCTTTCCGAGTCATTGACGAGTATACAGGACAGCGGTTGTGTCTTCTTCTGACTTCGCTAGGTATATGTTAGCTCTGGGCCGATGACTTAGAAGGTACGGAGTCAAGAGAAGTCAGACAACTAGCATTTTTCAGCTTACCAGTCCTTAGATGGGGTGGCTGCATTAGTTTTGTTTTTTTTCGGGTGTTTTTCCATTTGTTGTCATGTATAGAGGAGGAATGCTGTCACCCTAGACCAGCATTTTCCAACCTTTTTTCAGTCACGGCACCCTCCAAAAGCATGCAAAATCTTGGGGCACATCAGTTTTAAATGTGATGGATTTTAAAGGGGGACTACATGCAAAAAAAAATTAGGTCCCCTTCATAATGGAGTCCCCCCTTTAAATCATGAGCCCCCAAGGCTCCTCCTTTCACATTAGGAGTCCACTTCACATCATATCCATTTCCTTTTAAATCAGAGCCCCCCTTCTTTTAAATTATTATCCCCCATTTACATCACAAGGTTTATATTCACAACAGAAGGAGGATTTGGAGGCACCCCTG